AATCGTACAAAATTGTGAAGTTGGGGATCAAAGTGCACAAGCCAGAAAGTTGGAGGACTTGGAGTGCAATTTCCTCTAGGATATTTAGTTTTCATTACTTAGCCACTAAGAAAACTAAATATCCTAGAGGAAATTGCACTCCAAGTCCTCCAACTTTCTGGCTTGTGCACTTTGATCCCCAACTTCACAATTTTGTACGATTGAAGTCCATTTTCTTCTCCTTTCGCTTTGTTCTCCTATTGTCGGGGTTTTGGCCTACAAAAGCAGTAATTACACAATTATATATAAAAATCTACTCAATTTCGTTAATAATAAACTTCCAAAAGTGCCTAATAAGTGTGTAAAAACACACTTAACACTTGACTTGAGGAGATATCCTGGATGACCTCGTGGGCTATGAATGGTAAACATGTTGATAGAATTATTGTACACGAACTCATTAGTAGGCAACACTGGATCCCAATTATCAAATTTTTTTGCAAATATAATAACCTAATTTACAATAGCTTCATCAATGAACAATTCGTTGTGTGCAATAAGAGTTTCATTTTTGGCAATAAATTAAAACAATATAGATACTAATTAATTGCAATCAATTTTTATGGAAACCTAACTTCAAAGTAAACTATTTTTAAGATCAATTAATATTTTAAAGATTGAATTAAACAATAAAATTTATATTAATAATCTAATACAAGCTTGGAGACTTTATAGAAGATTTACGGAATTAAGTAGTTAGAAATTCCGATTTCACCTAGGTCAATGAACATTCACTTAATTCAATATCATACTTCTCTATTTTTACGTGTTCACGAACGAATTATCCAATTTAATTAGTAATCTCTCCTGAATAAAACTTGTCTATTATACGCAAAAATTTACTATATCTTTATGTAAATTCCGATACATATAAACACATATAATTTCAGAAATTCAATTAAGATTCATAACTAATAAGAGTAATCTCAATCTCTTATCAAAATCTATATCACTTATTGCACGAGTTATCAAATATATCACCTCTTTGTATCAATATTATCCTAAATTTATCAATTGATGATCAAGCAATTGAATTAAATTAAGTATACAATAAGCAATTAATATAAAATAAGACTGGACATAAAATCTTTGAATTAAATTAGCATTTATAATCTAAGCTACATCTTTCATCCTAACAATCGAATAACTAGCCGCTTATAATTGTTGAAAAATACAAATAAAGGATAAAGAACATCACCGAGTTTAATTAATATGAATAAAGAGAGAAGAAATCCGAGCAATTGTTGGTCTTCGCTGCACAAATTTTAACAATAATCTTCAAGGTCTTCCTAATATTGTACATCTCCTGACAAATCTATGGTATTCTGCATTTAAATCCCGACTTCTTGCCTAGAATCTTGAGAATTTATGGATAGAGTTATGTATTTTGCCTCGAGAATGAGTCCACTTGAAAATAATAAAAGAAAACTATGTATAGTCTCCTAATTAGGTCTAAAATCGATCACCAAGATGTTGAAGAATCAAAAGTTGAGTTGAATTAAGAGAACTGATGGTTTCCGTTTCTACCATGCGATACCCTTGTGTCTCCTACAATCGCATGGTTAGCCTTAGATGATTATTGGTCGACAAATTCTGCCTTGTGCAATCGCATCTATTGACCCTTGCAATCGCAAAGATCAATCTTTCTATTCTTGTGCAATTTTGTCCTCGCCTTCTTTTCTTGTTCAGCCCAAGTTCTCTATTATTGCAATGTATGTCCTTCAACTTCCAAACTTGACACTTTGGTCTCCGAATTCCAGTATTCGTCAAACTTCAATCCTAATCGATCAATTATTTTCCTTTCACATTTTCTTTTCTTCATCCAATACCGGGTACTCCTAAAATAGACAATTAACACACAATTAAATATCTAAACTATAAAAGCACTCTCAAACGCCCACTTTTGTTGCCTAAATAAGTGTAAGAACAACACTCATCAAGTGTTAAGGGTTCAAATGAATCAAGCTGGGGCAAATTGATGATTTTTGGAATCAGTTTGTTTCAGCATGGTTGATCCTCTTAAAATTTTATTTTATAAATTTACAGTCTTCACTGATTAATAAATTTGTCAGGAACCAACACCCAAACCCAAACTTAATATCTCTTATCCAATGATTAATACTTTGAAAGCTCTGTAGCAATAATAGAGGGAATTTTTTATTATATGTATATGATTTTGCATTGATATAAGGGATATATAATGTAGGTTTAGAGTTCTTTCCATGTAATACATCATGTAGTAATGTGGCTTAACATTATTATACTCATTTAAATTACTTAAAGCCCTTGAGCTGTTTACAAATGAATTAGTTCAAATGCAGCCCTAGTTAGTATCACAACAAATTAAATTGTATATCTGCATTACTAATTCACTTCCAATGTGTTTCCAGCATCCGCAGCATAACAACTTTAGAATATTATATTCAGACTGGGTTGGATTCTCTGGAAGAGTCTAGAAAATGTTTAATTGATAGAATCTTGGAAATCGATCAAACAATGGAAAATCCTAGAGAGGAGGATATTATCCGTGTGAGATTCTGTGCAAACTGTTATGATAATTGTGATGGTCCTGCATGCACCCATTGTGAATTGGATGAAATATTTCAGGTTTGTGGTTTTCTCACAGATTGCATCTTTGCCAAGACCTTGTGGCTAGGGCTTTATGATACTTTTTCTTTGTTTTTACCAGGTTTATGAGGCCAGGCTCTTCCGCCTGAACAAAAGCAATAACGGGGAGGTCATTACCTCTGTAGAAGCAGCAGTAAATCTGCAAAAAAAGAAGTCTGCATTGAACCATTTTTATTGGAGTTTGTCACGGCATGACAAGAGTTCAGCTTTATCTGCCTCTGAATATGAAGATAATGGAAAGAAGAGGGATATTGGGGAAAATGTGACGGTTGGTTATTGGCTTATGTTCTTTGTTAAATTTATTTTATGTTTTTTTTTCCCATATCTTTTATACTTGTTGAGCTACTACCTCAGAACCTTGAAAGTTTGTTTGCAATATGTAGCTTTTGTTGCCTTGCTTTTTATGCAATTAGCCATACAATATGTTAATTTCAGCCTAATGTCTATCTAGGAGCTATATCCTACTAGTTAGTTTTCTTGTTATTAAGGATCTCAAGGTTGAAATCAATTGTGTGATGAATCAAGGCTTACCATGGAGGATCTTCTCCTCTGAATGGAAAATAACAAGTAGACTACCAATTGATTTATGTGTGCTCATTGCACAACTTAATGTCTAATTTAAGCTTCATCTGCTACGCTGATTTTCAGAAATCAGTATTGTGTATATGCACGTCAACCCTAGAGTTATTTATTATCTTGTATATGGTGATAGTGGAAGCTGATCTTCAAAGTATCTTTATGAAATTGCTTCGCAGGTATCAAAAGCACCCTCTGATTTGGAGATCATGCTGGGGATTATTAGAAGCAATTCCAAAGGTTTCTTGGGAAGAGAAAGAATCTCAGCAGCCAGAAAGCATCTCATTCTTCTCGAGGTTTGACTGCATCTTTCTGCCTCAGAACCACCTAGAGTCCACTTTTATGCTCTTTATATGACTTTTTATCCGTAAAATAATTTTGTAGTTGGAATTTGATTTCCGTTCTAAATTTGCTTCAGATGTTGGGAGTCTTTAGCTGATGTAAAATTATAATGAAACTTTTTTTGATATTACTGTTTTCTCTTAGTGTGACCTGTTGCTTTCATTTTATTTTTTCTATTTATTTAACCAGAATTGAATTTTGCGCTAATACGGAACTAACATGTCCATGAGTGTGCTTAAATCTTATTTTGGCAGACAACTGTACCCCTTTCTTCTCATGTTTATTTTAAACTACATTCAGGGAATGCGCAAGGAGTACACCCAAGCAAGGTCCCTGGCAATAGCTCAAGCACAGGTTCTGCGTGCTCATGATGAAATAAAGATGGCAACCTCACGCTTACGCATTAGAGAGAATGACGATGATAAATCTATTGATGCTTTAGATCCGGGAGAGTTGGATATAGCAAATGCTGAAAATTCTAGTGAAAAGTTCCTTGCATTGGCTTCTTTACTACGTATAAAAGGCCAACTTCGCTATTTGAAGGTAATAAACCTCATTGTTTGGACACTCAATTGTGTTTTTTGTGCAGATGATTAATAAATGCTTCATACCCTTACATTAGAAAGATTTTTGTTTTAATCTATGACTGCCCCAATATAAATTTTTTTGGCCAGTTTTCATTTATAGGAGAGGGGGAAACGGAATCGAAATCTCAATTTATGAGTAAAATACTAATGTATATATTAATGGCTGCATCATGGGCTTACTTTGGTATTTGAAGCTGTTTTAGCACATAAATAATTCATGCTATAGATACCGATGGTAAATGTGATTGTAAAGATTTCCTATGGAAGTACATATGCATAAACAGAGCTAATTTTTGAATTTATTGTTTTTCAACTAACTAATATACCAAGACGAAAATATATGTTCATGTAGAATATAGCCTTGGAAGGATTTCAAACACATATTTTGGCTATATTTTGCTAGACTTGGTTACTCTATATAGCTTTCGCAAAAGACTAGTCTAGATTAGTCTTTTGGTCTCATATGCATGCTTGATGTACGTGTCTTACAGAGGAAATACTGCAATCTTTGAGAGAAATTTCTTGTACAGAGATTGTGTACTGTATGCTGATAAAACCCAACCTCTCGGTGCTTACCTCCATTGTTGTGTTTTATCAGATACACAGGAAGGATAACTTGAGTTCTTTTAGGTATTCTTGTAGCCAAGCTTTAATCAAAATACCTATATACATTCCCATCATTGCCAAAAAAAATTCCAAAATTCTAAAAGTTATCCCCAGTGGTTTTTCATTTTTAAACATCTAACATATTAGTTATTTCTTTATTGATTTCGTGAAAAACTCCATAAATAATAGAAGAATGCATCTATCTCTAGAAGGTACCTACAGCTGAAGTGACCTTTGTGAAGGTTAAGGGGGCCACTTGATTCATTCATTTGCCACAAATGTATGCCATGTGGGTGTGTTTGTGTGTGTTGGGGGGGTGGGGGCCCCCCCACTCAACCTCCAAAATTAGGTTCAAAATTTGAAAAGTTCTAATAGGTATATTATCAAAAAATGGAGGGATGCTCTTGCTCTTAAAGAGTAATATATAATTTTAGAAATGGTAGAAATTCTTAAACTGTGATGATATATTGGTGTTCAATATGTCTTTATAAAAGATGATGGTTTTTGATATGTTCTTAGTTATGCTCTTCACATTGACTAAAATGTTCATCTAGGCGAATATGATATCCATTGCATCACCAATAGATAGGTGGACACTTCAAAAATAAAAAATAAAAAAAAAGGTTGGTGAAACATTCCTGATGTCAATTTTATATCCACCTAAGTTTTCAATATTTAACCACTATTTTGCTGTCATACATCCATCTAATTGTTGAAGATAGCTTATAGCATTATTGGGGTATGCAGGTTCTATGCATTATTCCTAGGGACTAGCTCTTATAAACTTCTATTTGTGTCTCCTGCCAGAAATTTCGACAATACTCCTGGAATCGCCTATTGATTTATTTGTTCTATATTAATTATCAAGTTCTATCCCATTCATTTGTCAAGGTTTTAGTGGTTGTGTGCTGTCAGTGCAGTACGATTATCAGTTTAGCACTTACTTTTAACGCCATTTTTCTTTAGAATCGTTTCTCCAACAATTTTTTTTTATTGCACGGAATATGGTGCTTGTTAACTTTGAGTTAAAATGTAAGGGTGCTAAAACCCACTTATTCCTGCAAATGAACCACATATAAAGTTTTGAGATTTAATGGGCTCCTTTTCCTGTATTAACTTAGAAAACTTGTCTGGCTGATATGAAAAGGTTTATTGCCTCTAATGTTTGGTGCTTGTGCAAATATCACTGGAGATTTTCCTTCTGAAGAATATTCATCTTATATGTACTTTATAGCTATTTATACTCATCTTTTGCCAGGGCTTAGTACAATCTCAACAGAATCTGCAGTCACAAAGCTCTAGTACTTTAACCTTAACTGAAGCCTCAGTTCTCTCGGAAAATGGATGCCTACCTAAAGTAGATAAGGAATCATGCCCAGTTTGTCAAGAGCAGCTCAGCAATCAGAAAATGGTTTTCCAATGTGGGCATATGACGTGCTGTAAATGTAAGTTCTCACCAGTTCTTATCTCCCTTGAGCTGCTATGGAGGCATTGTCTGAAAAGGAAGAATTATAAGTCTAGAGTAAATTCTTCTTATCATTCAAACAAAATTAAAAACCAGTACCAAGTATCTCTTTATTAACTATGGAGAGGTGCTATCACCTGTCTAACTACGCAGCAAGATCTGTAATTAGTGTTGAAGCACATCTTCTTGAGATTGATAACCTACTCTTATTTTATCTACTTCACTAGACTAAGTATTTAGAATAGAAGTTGTAGTTACTGATATTGTTGTTCCTCTCTTATATGACAAGAGCAAGTGAAGTTCCCAGGGTTCCTGTTGGGTTGAGAGAGATTTCCACTTCATGTGAATATTAGTAAATAGAAGTACTTTCTGGATGTTGATATGAAGTCAATTTTTCAAATATACAAATCAGTTGTTTTCATACCTGCAAATGTGTGATGCTGGAAAAACCTATATGATGATATTTTTTCCACAGGTTTATTTGCAATGACCGAGAGGAGATTGATTCAACATGGAAAATCTTATAGTAATTGGGTAATGTGCCCAACATGTCGACAGCACACAGATTTTGGAAATATAGCTTATGCTGATGATGAGTCATATGACTATTCTGTTCAAGCTTGTGATAAATCCGAAGCTTCTATCCCTGTACAAGGTTCATATAGTACAAAGGTATGTCTGCATATGATAAATTTATGAATGAGAAAACATGCTTTACAAGAAGTTAATGTATATTGGTGCAGATATGCATGTTGTCATTTTTCCTCTCAGATTATAATTTCTGTCTCTTTGGGGTTCTTATAGCAGTATAATTCATTTTGAGCAATCATCTTATCTAATATTTAGCTTAACTGCCGTAAAGTGCATACAAGTGGTACTAATGTCACAGTAACCTATTTTGCCCGGCGTCTCATGTGTCTGTAAGTTGTCATCTAGTAAATAGGTTTTAATCTTTTGAAAAATCTGATAGATCATGTTTTTTCTCACAAGATTTCTCCAAAAAATTGAAGTGGAGTTACAACAGTCACTGATAGATTAATCACATAACTAATTAAGTCTCACATCAATGTTATCATTTTCTTTTTGAAGAATCTGTCTAGTGAGCTAGCATGTTAAAATGATTTAGAATAAAGAAGTTGAACTTCTCAATAATACCTTAAGTCTTTGGATAAATCTGTGGCTGGGTTGAATGTTTGGTCGAGCTAGCTTTGTTTTGATTATATTTAATGACTTCAGTGGTCATCTTTCGCATGGAATCCTAATTGTAGAATTATTATTTATTATTTATTTATTGATTGATTTTTTCACACGGCCCTATTGGGTGGTATTGCGCAGATTGAAGCAGTAACAAGGAGAATTTTATGGATCAGTTCTACCAATCCAGCAGCTAAGGTTCTTGTTTTTTCCAGTTGGATGGATGTCCTTGATGTGTTACAACACGCCTTTACTGCCAATCATATAAGTTATGTTAGGATGAAAGGAGGAAGGTAGGTGTTTGTCGTTGAACACTTCTATTGATTTTTCCCTTATTTTGTGTTGTTTGTTCAATTTATCACGTCGCTTCTAAGACATGACAAGGAAACTTTATTTGCCTGTTACTCTACAACTAATTTCTGATTAATGATTATTGAAACCAACCCTCCACATTTTGTAGAGTGAGAACAACTGGCAATGTCTGCTTACTTTGTTGTACAACGGGAAAATATGCACCAATTCTCACAGGCAACACACAAAAACAAGAATGTATCCGTGCATGTATGCCTTTCTTTTATTCATTTCATTTTCAAATTTAGAATTGGAAATGTTAAATACCACTACCATTTTGAGCTAGTGTGTAATCTCTTTGATTCTACTTTAATCCTTGGACGAAAGAGCTAAAATCTTAATTTGATTATTCAGGAATTACAAATTATGATAAACTTGAATGTTATGTATTTTGTTCTCAATGACACTGATCTTGTATAGGTTACAACAGCAATAAAAATATCTTTCACATGGTACTTGGTACTTGTATCTGTTTGTGGTGAAGACAAGATGAAGCTTAGATAGAGCTCACTTTTCTGTCACCTTCCAATGCTTTTGTTGATTCTCTATTTGGTACTGAGGTCATGTATTGCAAATTATGCTTAATAATAATGGATTATCAAGTAAAATTGATCTATTCATCGTTTGGACTAATCTTACTAATGAAACAGGAAATCGCAAGTTGCCATCAGCCAGTTCAGGGGACAGAAAATCAATGCAAAACAAAGTAATGAAAAGCACAAGGGGCAAATAGAAACCAAAACTGTTCAAGTTCTACTGCTCTTAATCCAACATGGAGCCAATGGACTAAATCTTTTGGAAGCTCAGCATGTCATTCTTGTAGAGCCACTGCTCAATCCTGCAGCTGAAGCACAAGCAGTCAGCAGGGTGCATCGAATTGGGCAGAAGGACAAGACCCTCATTCATCGTTTTATAGTACGTAATTTTCTCTAATTTTGTGCTCTTATACATAGTTACCAGTTACCACTTGGATATTTCTAAATGGAATATGCTTATGACATGGCATGAGAGAAGTCTATATATCTGTTCATGGTTTGAAGAGGAAGTGCAGCCTCCCGCTTTTTGAGGAAATGGAATTAGCTTTATTTTTCAGATGTTACTGTAACATTTATACTTTTGGTGTAATTGATAAAAAACGCAAATAAGTAGGCCCACGGTTGGGCTCCGTTAAAATCAAACTTTGGGGGAAAATGTATTTTGGAATAGTGATTTTTTTAAGAATGTGATTAAAAAGGAAGAAAAAGTTTTGGATTTACGTGTAAATTGTAATATAATTTTATTAGAGAATATGTGGATGAAAAGAAGAGAGAAAAATGTATTAAGGTTTTAATGGAGCCCAAACAGGGTATAAATGCTTTTCAGAAGATCTAGGTGTCTTTCTGTAGACAGAGGATTTTAATCATTTTTTGAAAGCGAACTAGTGATTGTCGCTGCTCAGTCTACTGTTTTGTGATTCTATGATAAGCAATCTTTCGAGTATATTTACCATGCATGAGATGGAAGGCAAACATCTTGCTGCTGAGTTTGTTTTGTAAAGTTTCAATTGCTACTTAAACATAGCAAGCTTATGTCGTGTAATAACTGGAATTCCTTTCTCTATTTAACCCTCTATTCTGTTTTTTAGTACCTCAAATCCAGCACTGAACACATGGGGATGCATAGTCATGTGCATATACTCTCATGTGTGCTTATTTTGCTTTTATAGTTCATTAACTTGGCTGTGAAACTGAGGTTTGATATTGACATATACACATGCTAAAATCTTGTCTTAGTATCACCAAGTAATGCATATCAAACATGCTCTTTGGATCTGATACCAGCTGAACCTAATTTATCAACCTCAATTCTTGATATATCTGAGAGATTGACACCTAAAAACCGTGTTTATCATATTCTGCTTTTCTTTTCTTGCGTGTTAGATGAAAGACACCGTTGAGGAAAGCATATATAAGATGAACAAGAGCAGGGACACAAGTTCATTTATTAGTGGGAACCGGAAGAATCAAGATCAACCTCTGTTGACTCTCAAAGATGTTGAATCCTTATTCAGAGTAGCACCTTCTGCCGTTCCAGAAAATCAAAAGCCAACCAGAAGCTTGAGGGATTTGCCACCTTCTGCAGCAGCTGCTATTGCTGCTGAAAGAAGGTTAACGGATCATACAAAACAATAACATCATGTAGCTGATTGACATACAGTCCAGTTGACATCTTGCCATCCATTGACTACTTCTTCAACAAACTTGATGGTGGGAAGTTTAGGCTGCATTACACTTTGTCTTTTAACTGCAATGCAAGTATTGCTTGATTAACATGAAAGTAAGCAATCTACAATGTTGTTTGCAGGCTCTGTATAATACTTTTATTGTCCTTGCTAAATGTGTGTACATTGATGTATAGATTTACTTGACCGGACGAGTAATTTTGGACTCAAATAATTTGTTCTCTAGTAATGAATAGACGATAAAGTAAATACTATTGGTTCTTAAAAATTGAAAGCCGAAATGTTGAATTAGCTGTGTTGGGGAATCTGATGTTTCCAGAGGCAGATTCTAATCTGCATCCCATTTATCATTCTTTGCCAGCTGCCTTAACTCTCGCGCACACTAAAACACGCACGGTTCCACGACAAGAACAGGGCAGAGATGTAAGTGTTATACCTTGGTCCAATCAATTCAGGTTGTAAACATTTTTAATATGTTTAATGCATTTATTTATGGCAAGGTTTATTATTTTATTTAATTACTTTTCATATAAATTATATTAATAGATTTCGTAGATTTAAGTCCCGATAATTTGTTAATAACAAGGAGTTGTGATAGTGAGAAACAAATCACATATGATTAAATCTTAAATTATCCGTGGTCGTAAGTAATAACAAGATATATATATCATTATTATGGATATATCATTACGTGTGGTATTTTTGTTTGTGAAGTGAGGAGATGATCTTATAAGCTAAAATATAGTGACATTTAAATGAACAAGTAAATATTTTGTTAGAAGAACGTAACATTGAAGATTTGTTGAAGGGATTTCAAATGGATAACTATCTGAGTGTCGGTTAATCTCTAACGTACGATAGTGGAATTGATTATTTGATTTGAAGTCAAGTCATCATAGTGCCTAATATGGAGATAGTCACACTTTGATAAGAGATTGTTAACCTAGTTATCAGAATCTCTAACTTCGTTAAGTTCTTAATGGAGAATCCTTATTTATTGAAATATTGAACTGTAATTGGTGAAATTTTGTCAAACTGGAGAGGTGGGGATAGTAAAAAATTCAACATTAGTTCACACACTGGAAAATAGTGAAAAAAATAAATTTGGGGGTGTGAATCTTACGAGTAATGAAAGAACATATTTGACCATTTGGGGTTGGGATTTGAAACGACTTATGAATTCATAATACTATGCTTAATTTTTCACACACACATGTCGATTTTACATTAGAAAAGTGGATTTTAATTTTTGTATTGTGATTTTGAAGTTGTGCATAGATTTGTTATTATGAGTTCAATCCCAAGATAAAAAGCCAAGTTAACTAGCTAAAAATTGTTGTTTTACTTGATTTACTAGCACAAATTAGGTAATTAATATTGTTTTTTTGTGTATTTGTTAGGTTTTAATTTTGTTTGAAGACAAACAAAGAGTTAAGTTTGGGGTGTGATGAGTGTAGTTTATACGCTTATTCGTGGCTCTAAATTATGATAAGTCTTAGAGATTGAAGCAATTCAAGTTAATGGAGAATCTTTATTTATTGAAATATTGAACTATAATTGGTGAAATTTTGTCAAACTGGAGAGGTGGGGATAGTAAAAAATTCAACATTAGTTCACACACTGGAAAATAGTGAAAAAAAAATAAATTTGGGGGTGTGAATCTTACGAGTAATGAAAAAACATATTTGACCATTTAGGGTTGGGATTTGAAACGACTTATGAATTCATAATGCTATGCTTAATTTTTCACACACACACGTCGATTTTACATTAGAAAAGTGGATTTTAATTTTTGTATTGTGATTTTGAAGTTGTGCATAGATTTGTTATTATGAGTTCAATCCCAATATAAAAAGCCAAGTTAACTAGCTAAAAATTGTTGCTTTACTTGATTTACTAGCACAAATTAGGTAATTAATATTGTTTTTTTGTGTATTTTTAGGTTTTAATTTTGTTTGAGGACAAACAAAGAGTTAAGTTTGGGGGTGTGATGAGTGTAGTTTATACACTTATTCGTGGCTCTAAATTATGATATTTTATTATTTTTTGGATTAAATTCTACTTAATTTATGTTATATTGTGTTTTGTACGTAAAAATTTATGTTTGATGGAGAGGGAGAGATTATAGAAGAAAAAATATATAGACAGAGACACGTAGAATAGAGGGCAGTGGAGGAGAACAGAAAAAAAAAAGAATAATAATNATAATATAAAGACAGAGACATGTAGAATAGAGGGCAGTGGTGGAGAACTGAAAAAAATAAGAATAATAATAATTGTTGCTGCCACAGGAAACAAATGAGGAAAAGAAACAAAAGACAGGAGAAAGAGAAAGAAGAAAGGGAAAGAAATGAAGGAAAAGAGAAAAAACTAACACAGTGCAGGAGGAAGAAAGAGAAAAAGAAAAGAAAAGAAAGGAACTGCAAACACAAAAAATTTCACGTTTTGTCAATTTTTAGTGATCTTTCTACTTTTACGCATTTTTATTTTTACAATATGAATAATTAATTGTGGAAATTACACCTATCCCTACATTTGGAGATCCAATTTCTTAAACCAGATTTTATCTTTTTTTTTCAAAAATCAGAACTTTTTAAAATAGATACAAAATTATTATATTTAATTAAATATTATAAAAAATAAATTATATAGGATTTGAAACCTAAATTTAATTCATTTTCTCGTACTATACACCCTCTCTCCACCCTCTCTCCACATCGCCGGACGGT